ACTTCCTTTTATTTTGAACCCTTCTTAAGAACTTCAAGGAATGCTACTGAAACGCTAGGGCTCATCCTCCTTGGTGCCAATGCCTGGCAAGACTTTTTTTTTTTTTAATAACCACAAGCATTTGTACATGAACCCAATTCACTGTTTCTAGATCATTAAAGAAATATGAATACATCCTTTTTGATTTGCAGGGATGCCTGGAAGTACTCAGACTCAAGTCACAGGAACAACAACAACAAAAAAAACCCAAGCTACAATGTGCTCAATCCTTGGTAACTTCTGCCAACAGAGTCTACATATTTTGATAAGGTCTCACTTGTATGCCAAGTATTTTCCCCACAATATTCCTTTATAATCCCAGTGATCTACAGAATTTTGTCCATTTTGGAAAGTCACAACATATAACAGATGATCAAAATAAACATTAGAAAATTGGGTAATGAAAAGAACAAATAGGGAATCAGCAAGTGGTAATGGAGTAAAGTCAATTTTGCCCTCTTTATTACCCTCTCTTACCTCCCACCCCCTAAAATCTTGTAATTTAGGGCCTATGTGCCCACATTGCAGATGTACTCATCTCTCCTCCCAAAATTGGTCTTTTTGTCCCATATATCTTGATTGTGTTAGTACACCATGCAAGAGACTTAATACTCTCTGATGAATGTGATTTACCAAGACTACTTGCCGCAGACACCATGGGCTGTCTTTATTCTGTCAAAGCTCTGCCTTTATTCTGATATCCAATCCTCCCACAAGTGGCTCAGATAAATCCTGTTGGATGGAAAATAATCATGGTGGTCTCCAGTGACTGCTCTGGACCAATGAGATGTGACATAAAGTGTGCTGGAGGATGTCTGGGAAACGTATCATCCTAGCTCTTAAAAAGGGACTCAGAGAAGAAATAATGCCTCTTCTGCTTCTGGACAAGCACTGACATGCAAGGACACAATGCAGTACGCTGGGACTCTGCAAGGAGCTAGCCAACACAAGATGCTGGCTGAGCAGGAACATGGAAATAGTTTGAGTCCTTCATGAGCTGAGAAACTAACCAACTCTCAGGACAGATTCTGTGTCATGACACAACAGATCTCCTTATTGTTTAAGCCATTTTGAATTGGATCTTCTGTTTCTTGCAGCCCAAAGCATCCTAAATGATACCATATCTCTCTGGGGAAGCAAAACAGTCTTCTGCCTCTCCAACACCCCCGCAACAAAGGAACAGTTGCTCCAAAAAAGGAAAGAGACTAAGGTTTATTTCTCAATAAGTATTTTGGGAAAACCAGCTGTGAAAAGGTATTTTTAATATCTACTCCTGATGTATGAAGGGTTCTTTGAAATCCTTTCTCACTGCATACACTGTAATAAATCCACATGAGCCACTACGAATGGTATGTGTGGGGATATACAACATACTTGGAGCCATAATATGTAAACATTAGGAAATTACCATGAAATTAGTCTTTTTTACTCATCTACTCTTATTTCCTCTTACGATTATAAGAGTGGGATATTTTTCTTGTGTCCTGCTCCACCTGATAAAAATAACAGAATTATACAAATGGAGGAGAAAGAAAACTGAGGCTCAAAGAGGTAGAAAAATTGGCACAAGGATCCACAGCTAGCTGGGAATGATTTTTTTTCTTAAGTAAAAATGCCTTTTGCGTGATTTTAAAACAAAAACATTTGTTGAAAACTCAATGCAAAGTCAAACTGCAAAGACTTGGGAAGTCAAAACTGGATTTTTAAAAGCTAATTTAATCATGACAATAAAATCTCCCTTTTGAATTCACTGCTTTGAGCTTCTTCTTTCTAATATTCACCTACATCCCAATCCATATTCCTCTCAATACCATTTCTCTCTCCTAGAAAATCCTTGCGTATGGCCCATTCTCTGAGCCAGTGGTTCTTAGATCACTGTTCACATAATAATTACCTGGGAAATAAATCAGAAATGCAGATTCCCAGGCAGAGAGCCTGACTGAGTAGACCCACAGAGCCCAGAAATGTCAATGTAAACAAGCACCCCGGGTGATTCTAACCATCCTTTGAGGCACATGACTCCAGACTGTATACTAGATTCCAAGATCCAAACAGAAAACATCTAATTATCATAGTAGATTTAAGCTGAAACTACAAAAATATGTGCATGGTTGCCTATAATTTTTATGTTCCCTCTGAGGTCTGAAACAAATCCAACATCTCTATGATTTGGATGTGCCCTGGTAATCATTTGCTTTAGAGGTTTGGAGTTTTTATCCTTCCCCCGACCCAAGACTTTTTCCCTGCCTCTGCATGAATTTTTAGCTGGGATTTAATAAAAAATGCCTTAATTCTCCCTCTGTGGCTAAGGGAAATCAATTTTGGAAAATGTTTCAAAAGAGTACTTTAAAAAATATACAATACAAAATGTCTTGCCTTTGAACCAGAATTCTGAGATGCACAAGGCAAACAGTAGGTAATGAGAGAAGTAAACACCAGTTTTCCAGCAGAATCAGCCCTGAAACCAAAACTTAGGAAGGAAGCTGACCATTAAGTAAGTAGCCCAGAGGAACAATAGCTCAGGCGTAGCCTAGGGTAAGTCTAAACCTGAGAAAACTGGAATTAGACAAACTTCTTGTCCCAAGTTAACTTTCCCTTACTGCTTGATTTTAAAATAAGGACAGTGCTGTAAATGAGAATATAAAGTTTAAGTGGAATCTTAGAACTCCTCTGGATGCCAAAGAATTCTTTCAGACCTAAATAAATACTCTTTACTGGATTCAACACTGCTCATTCATATCCTTCTCCACAGGGACATTTTAAATATAGAGGCTTGGGAGACCAAGAACACAGCACGCTAAGAATTTAAGTCTGCTATAGTCTAATACTAGCTCTAACCAACTCACATTACAGCATGAGAGCTTTTCTATAGGTAGATTTCTTGATAATTAAATGAACAAGAAATGCCATAAAACCACAGAAAATCATTCTCAAGTTTCAAAGGTAAGACATAATGCTCAAGAAATGCTATGAAGTAAACAACTCCAGCAAGAAAATTGCTTTAAATTGGTTAGAAGGCCAAAAAAACAAAAAAGTGTCAAGGTCACAACTGTGATTTGCAAATTCCAGTTTATAACTCTTAGGTTAGTAACAAGGATGGACTGAATGTAATGGGATTGAAGGGGGAAAGAGTAGAAAAAGGAAGAGAAAGTGAGTCATCCAACCAGGAGATGAACAAGTTCAACCGTTCAAGACCTACCTTAAGGGTTTGGTTTTGTTTTTTAAATCTTTTTTTCTTCTTCTTTAAAGACTCCTAACAATCCTAAAGGAAATTTAAAAGTAGGAGAAATGCAACACTGGCTCTGCTGGGTCACCCTTCACTTTTGGTCTCTCTCGGTTCAGTTAAGCTCCTTCCAATTGCACAGCTTGAAAAGGCCCATGGCCTTCAGATGTTTCCTAACCCTTCTCCAGCTGCTTTCCGCAGGCCTGAAGGCCTCTTTAAGACCCATTGGCCATGAAGCAGTCATGAGCTTCCCCACACATACTAGGCTGGAGGGTGCACCTGGAATCTCCTGTGTCTTGGTGTTTGTCCTTCAAGTGTGCAAAGTTTTGCAACTAAGATCTAAACCAGCTTCTCTGCTTGACAAACGCCTGACTCTAGGTCGTGTGGAACCGGTACTAAACTGTCATCTCAGAGCATCTGGAGTTACTTTTTAAAGCCCAGTTCCCATTATTTTAAACATGCTTCATCAGGATTCTTTGACACCTTTAGGGCATTACCCTGGAAACTTGCATGTTATCTGCTATGCTTCCTAAGTACTCCTGAACAAGCAGCTCTGATATGGGAAGCCAAGAAAAAAAATTGGTCAATAATGGAGCAACCGTGGCTTTGCCAAATTGCTTTCCAACAACACACAAAATACTCTTGCTTCTTGATGGAAATGAGGACATGGTTGAAATCTTCATGATATATATCACTCTTTTTTCCAAAGGCAATATCAAGTGCTTGACAGAAAGATGAAAACTAACCATTACAATCTCACTCAGAAGAATATCAACTTATCCCAAAGAAATACCCTCATGGCATAGCAAAGTGTGGACTATAAAGGCCAAATTTATAACATGTCAGTTCAGTAGAATGTAGGGTTTAATAATTTAGGTTAACTGTTATGCTCTCATTCTTTTCTTTTGCTCCAGTCTGCAATCAAGAACATACCACCAAAGTCAATGGAAAGTTAGAACACACACACAAGTAGTGATGAATGCAGCACGGGAAGTCAGAAATGCCACTTGTAAACGGGTCAAGGAACAGTAAATACACAAATATTCAAAACCATTCCAAGACTGTAAATGCTCCTAGCAGAAAATCAGGTCCCGACTGAATGCTTTGATTATCTCAGAGGACAAGCGAGTATTTGCTGAAAACAATTCCTTTACTCTTTATACTTCTTCAAAGGCTTTAATGCATGTAACTTCAAAAATCAATGATCCTTGCCGAAAAAGGGGAGTCTATTATCCACATTAGACAGAATGGGGAAACTAAGGAATAGAAAGTTCACTGGTTTGTTCAGGGCTGGTTAAGCAGCAGGTTAATAACAGAGTCAGCTCTAGAATCCAGGCCTCCTTACTGAAGACCCAAATTCTGTAAACCCATAACATATTTTTGTTTGTTCTTGATGAGCATAAGAACTTATAATCCCACAAAATTCTGTGTGGCAACCTGGTATCATGGACAACACACTCCAGTTTGCCCTTGATCATCACAGGCAAAATCCCCCTGAAAACTCGGCTTCGTGGCCTGGATGAAATGAGCACTTCCCCAGCATCCTCTGGGAAGGCCATCTGGCATTTGCTGCTGTTCTCCACTGCAATTAACATTTCACACATTTCTTTCCTAAGCCTCCAGCATACCTGATGCAATAGTGGGAGAGAGAAACAAAAGCAGAACTGAGATCAGCTTCACTGCTAAGATAAGAACTTTCAGGGGTAAGAAAAGGGCTAGTAATTGGTCTTAAACCTACTTCGCCAAGTGGTTCATGAGCAGCTGTAACATCTGCCGATTTTTTTCGGGGAGCCGATGAACAAGGCTGTGGATTTCAGAGACCCGAGACTCCTGGTTCTCCAGTTCTGCAAAGGAAGGAGGGAGATAATATTTTATCAGTGTCACAGCTAAACAACTTTAAGAATGAAAAATCAAGGGAAACCAAAGGATGGGCACTAACAGACCAAGGATTTCTCAAAGATTTACAATCTTGTCTTGTGTGCATACTGCATGGCCAGAATGACTAGATCTGGAAGTCCTTTTAACTAGATCTGGAAGTGCTTTCTGGAACAGGGTTGCCAAAAAAAACCATCATCAAAAAATCCAAACCAAGGTGATGATGTGATGAAACGGAGCCAGTCAACTGCACACCCAGAGCTGCTCCTGAGAACAAACTCAGGAGTAGCTGGCTCCCTAAAGGGAAGACTTCATTTCAAGGAAGTAAGGAACTTCATGCACTTGTAAAGTGATAAACAAATCTTACATGAATAACATTGCAAGGGTTTCAAATATCAAAATAACATCTCAAGACGGCATCAAAGAAATCAAAGGAAAATGTCCAGTATCTTCAAGTCACGTATGACAACCAGCCTGCTAGAAAGAAAGTAATGGCAGACAAAATATTCAAGTCTTTCTGCCAACTTGTAACCTAAATCACGGCTTGTCACATTCTCTTGGTTGAACCTGGGTAAGTGGCTTTGTTACTCTGGCAAATAGACTGATGGTGTTCATCACACCTATTTATAGAAATGATGTGAGGTTTAAGTAGAGAATGGTCGCTATGGGTTTGTAATTTCTCTAGAAAGAAATGACATAAACACCATCTTTGCTCCTAGCTTTCTCCTTCCTGTTTTAAGGGGACAACTATGAGTAGATAAGGACACCAGAACATTAGGTACTACTAAATTAGGCCAGTAGTAGCTACCAGAGTAAATATATTTTAAAGGCTGAAAGGAACCCAGGAGAGGCACAAGTTATCGACATAATAATACTGTGAAGATTCATGCTGGATTTAAATCTGATACAGAATCTTTCTGCCTCTTTACAAGAGGCCTGACCCATGTAGCCAGAGATTCCAGTATACTTAGAGTAGCTTGCACCTAATCCCTATGTATTTTAATACCAGTAATATGACACCAGGGACCTGGATGATATAGCTGAAGAATGATCAGAAGCTGTAAATGGAAGACATAATGGAAAAGAGGACTGTGAAGTTATATAAATGGTGTCATATTCAGGGAAACATTTCCAATGCTCAATTTAGGTAATGTGCAATGTCTGATTCATTCTGCAAAATGCTACTCAAAGGCTGGAAAAAACCTAAGAAGTTAGAACTCCAATAATCAAAACTAGAAAGGCAAACTTGTTTTTCTCTATCCCTCCAACATCCTCCTCCCCTAAACAAAAAAAAAAAAAAAAGACTTCTGAAGATTCTCTCTCCTGCTGTAATTTCAATGTGGTAGAAAGGCCCTTAGCAATCCCTACTTGGTTTCATTTTTATTCTGTGTTAGAATCTCATGAGTATGTTATGTGGCCAGTTTACATGCAGAATATGAAGGGTTAGGTAATGTTTATTTTGGGATACTGACTCTTCTTTGAAATAGAAAAATCTATTCCCTTCCCCTTAAAACTGAGACAAAAAAGACTTACTTGCTGCTTTGATGAAACTTCTTTGAAACTGGTACATCATGAGTGGTCCTGGAAGCATTCTGGAGTGAAAGGAGACAGGCCAATCAGCTTAATAATAAGAATAATCATATTTTCTCTAAATAGCAGCCTAGAGACTGACAAACTGTATTACATTTCTCAAAGACAAAGATCACAGGGAAACAGTAACAATGCAGTTTCCCTATTGCAAGAGTTCAGATATTTCATCCAAAATTTTTATTCTCTCTCTTTTTCAGAGGAATAGATACAACTATGTTTCATTGTCAACACTAAAATAGTGCTAATGCAAGAGTCTAACACAAAATAAGAGACTTCCTTTTCAGTCAGTGACTCACCTATCAACAATAGCATTTTAAGATGTGTCTGAGAAACATGCAACTAACTACATATTTGCAATTCTTGATCTTCCCAGAGGCTTGTTGTTAGAATCAATTCATCTAGAAACACTATAAAAGACTTTTGTAGGTGTTTTGGTGGTGAATTCCCTATGGAATATTGCTCCAGAATTCTAAAGGGCTAGAACCCCTAACATTATGTATGATATAAACAAATTTTACCTGCTAGGGTATGAGTATGTTTAACCATAAACTTGAGTTTTTTTCTGATAGTTCAAATAAGAAACTTCTCGATAGGACTATACATTATTCTTGGCTCAGATTTTATTCTCATTGGGTCCCTTAATTCGACTCCTAGTTTTAGTTAACACATTATGTCTTACTCTTGACTCTAATTACCCAATAGCCAATAAAATCTACAACAGCAATTCCTTTTCTGTGGCCTCCTTCCTTTGCTTTCCAGCCAACTGCATCTTCAAAAAATCTGCACAAAGACTGATGCTATTTCTGATGACCATTCTCCTCTCCTTTTAAGACTAGGTCCCGGCCGGGCACAGTGGCTCAAGTCTGTAATCCCAGCACTTTGGGAGGCCGAGACGGGCGGATCACAAGGTCAGGAGATTGAGACCATCCTGGCTAACACTGTGAAACCCCGTCTCTACTAAAAAAAATACAAAAAACTAGCCGGGCATGGTTGTGGGCGCCTGTAGTCCCAGCTACTCGGGAGGCTGAGGCAGGAGAATGGCGTAAACCCGGGAGGCGGAGCTTGCAGTGAGCTGAGATCTGGCCACTGCACTCCAGCCTGGGCAACAGAGTGAGACTCCGTCTCAAAAAAAAAAAAAAAAAAAAAAGACTAGGACCCACCTTTTTCTGTAAGAAGAACTATAGTATTCCTGTCTTTCAAGTCCAGCATAAATACTTTGGTTTATTCATGAAACTAAGATGCAGGCAGCTGGTCAATAACCCAACCCTTAATAATGAAAGGAGGTATAAAGAGGGTTCAGTAATATCATTTATAAATGATACAAGGAAAATAGTATCTCCAGAGAGATAATATTGTTCAATCTAAGGGAAGGAGTCAAAAAGGAGTTCCATTACGTTCTCATTTTTAAGAACCACTGTCAGCAGTGTACTCTGTGTAAAGTATGAAACTATCAAAATACATGGGGTATGTAATCATGCATTCTTAACTGAATATGATTCATGATTCCTTGTGTTCTTAACAGATTATTCAGGGACTTTGGGGAACACCCCATTGTAGGGTCTGTTCAAGGCTAATTATCACAATACTTCTCATATAGAACAAAGTTTCCTAAATCACTCATGGTGTCATTGCACAAAGGCAACCCATCAACTATGGATGATTTACAATTGGTTTGACCAGCTGAGCTAAACGCACCCACACAGAAGCTGTTTCCACATCTCAAACACCCACCCGACAGCTCTCCGGAGTCTGAAAATAAAACTGCTTTCTTCCTGATTGCATGATAACTAGCTGGCACTCTGCCTTGCAAATGGAAAGTCCCTACCTTAGGTAGGTCTTCAGAGCACTAGTGATGGTCTTTATCTCCCATTCAGCACAGATATCTGTTTCTGTCTCAGAAGCAGTCTTGGGGTCTAAAATGAGGAAAAGACAATACATAAAGCACAGCATAAAATGGAACTAATAAATAAGCACACATAAAGGCATCCAATCTTGCTAGTAACTAGAGAAATGCAAAGTAAATCACGACGAGAATTTTTTAACCTATTAAATTAGGAAAATGTGTAAAAATCCCAGTATCTATTGCTGGCAAGAATGTAGTGAAACTGATCCTCTCCTATCCTGCTGGCAGCAGGAGAGATAAATGCAACTGTTTTGAGAAGCAATTTGGTAATATGTATCAAAGTCTTAAAAATGTTTACACCCTTTGAACTAGTAATCCCATTTCTCACAGTCTATCCTCAGAAAATAAGATAACGCAGGAGAAAAGTTACAGACCCCAGATATGCTCAGCATACACTCTTCTTTGTAAAAGCAGAAAAAAAAAAAAAAAAAAAGGAGACAACCTAAATGTCCAATGATAGAAGAATGATTAAGTGAATTACAGTATGTCTACCTGATGGAATATTACCTCGCTGATTTATACGACAACAATGACTGTAAAGTAACATGGAAAATGCCTGCATTATATAATGTCAAATAAAAAAAAAAGATATGTTTGTGAGAAACTTTCTCTATGAACTTTTTATATGAACAAGGCTGAAAGGAAATACTCTAAATTAGTGGTTGGGTTAAAGTGGTGGACTGTGGTATCATTTTATTCCATTACTTTTGTATTTTTTAAAAAATTGCTTTAAGTTCAAATGTGCAATGAGAACCACCATAACTATCAGCTCTGACAATTTCTTTCGTCTCTTCTTGCATGGACTTTTAAACAAATCAGTATATTTTAAACAAGCATGTACGATAAAAGATCAGAAGAGGTAATTCCTGTAATCTTCCTGAGTGGCACACAAGGAGATGAGAAGAAGAGGCAGGGGTTAGGGAGTGTAATTGCTTCACAGATCTCCATCCTGTCCCTGGTGAGGCAGGCCAGGTCATACACGTACCGGTGGGAGGGTCACAGAGTCTTTTTCAGGGCACAGGACAGAGAATCCAGCTCCCTCATACTGGCTAAAGACTAGTTCTTTGCCCGCCAGCTCCCAGTCCTTTTTTTTTTTTTTTTTTTTTCCTGCATAGCACCTCATTTTGAGTAGGAGAGCAACCCTTTTCCTACTTTTTCCAGGGCTGGAAAATGGGATTCAGGACAGACTGGCCAAAAGTAGATCATCTCTCTGGACTTAATGACTGGATGAGGGATGGCCCAAGACCTAAGCCTGCCCAATCAGAGTAACTCTCCAGGAGTTAGGAACAGATATTTGCTGTTTGCTAGGCTTGCACTGGGAGATTATGTAACTGCCAGGTGCCACCACACAGAGCCTGAAAGTCCGACAAATCCAGAGATGAGATAAGCAGAAATGGTGGATCCTGAACCCTTGTATTTGCCTCTCCTTCTTACCACATGAGCCAGTAAATTCCTTTTTCCCCTTAAGCCAGATGAGGTCAGGTTTTCGTCTTTTTACGATGCAAAGAGATCTAAATGATGCACCAGGTAAAGGGAGGCAGCCACCAGACTGCATCTTTCTGAACAGTCTCCAAGAATAATTCTGGGATATCAATGAAGAAAGCTGTTCCTTCTGCAGGGCCAACAGCCTTTCAGCTGGAAAAAAGTAAGTCGCAGGTGGGCACAAGACATTTTCTATTTACTGGGAAAGAAACCACTTTCATCCAAATAGAAAGAGGCCAAACACTCATGAATGGCCTCAGGATTTAGCCTATCATCACCAGGTAGGGACACAAATCCAAGTGGTATCTGCTGCTCTCCGTGTGTTCCCCTGACACACACTGGGTTATGAGAGAGGAAAGGGCCCCCAGCTCATGAAACGTGTGGCTCTCAAAGGCACAATACCTGTATGATGTTTGCAGGTGACCATGAGCAATAAAATGAAGTCTTTCTTGTCACATGAAACAAACAAGGAAGAACCTAAAGAGCATAATTTTATTTCTGGGGCCACAGAACAGTAAATTCCATAGAGTCCTGTCATAGCAAATTTCTGAAAAGTTCACAAAATGTGATTTTCCCAGTATCCAAAATGTCTGCCACTTTAATTCGTGTCTTTGTCATCTTGCACTCCCTGAATGGCTTTTTCCTGCAGAAGAGTATGTATCAAAAACCTCTGCTTTGCATGACCTCTTTCCCTCCCCATCCTAAGACACATGGAGAGCTGCCATCCTGCATGGTTCCTGGATGTGAGACAAATGTTACTGTACATTTTTCTAAGGAAGAAACCAACTTCTACCCAAGAAGAGTGAACATGAAACTGAACAAGCAGCAGTTGGCAAGTCTGGGAGTTGTGAACTGTTCCATGAACCACATTTAGCAAACTAATGATTAGCTTCCACTTATTCGGGCTCTGTAACCATAGGAATATTGCGTAACATTAGAGAGGAGAGTCAAATTACAGCCCGGCTAAAGGGCTTTTTATAGCACTGATGAGGCAAGGCTCATAACTCAAGCACATCCATTTTAATTCATTTAAAATCCAAACTAAGTTGAATACAGCCTCCCAAGCTACACCATTTTCAGAAAGTGCTGCTGATTTCCACACCTCCCTCCTGATGCTCCCCTCACATACAGAAGCTTCCTGATGGCATCTGAATATGCTGCAGAGACATCATTTACACTCTTCTTTAGAACTCAGTACCTTTCTCTCCACCATGTCCCTTGACCACTGCTGCTCAGGAAAACAGATCTAAACTAGAGGAGCAATCCAGTGTACTAAAGGCATCATGTGGGGAAAGCAGAATGAATGTTATTTCCTCCTGAACCTACTATCACATGAATTCAGAAAACTAGAACACACAGACTGGAAGCAGTGGTTATAAGAGGAGAACATCTTAGAAATGTCACACTTGGATCAGTCCCAAGAGTCATCTAGTCTATCACTGTGCTGCAGACAAAATGAAGGATACTTCGGAGGAAATCATTAGGAAAGTTACCTATGTACACTCAGATTTCCTAATACTACATTATACTGTATGCAAATTAATGTTTTTCTCTCTTTAAGTGAGAAAGTAATATATGCACATGTTAAGAATTCAAAGAAAAAAAGACATATACATGCAAAGGTAGAGGCAACTGCTAATGCCAGTTTTTTATGTGCATATCCTATTTCTAACAGTCCCTTCTGTTTTGAGATCCAAAAGCTCTTACTGGCTCAAGCCCCAGTCTTATGAGGGCCTGCCTGAAGCATCCCAACAGGCAAAGGTTATGGTGGCTGCAGCAGAGGAGGAGGTGAGTTTCCATCTGTGTGTCTCTTCTTTGGGGACTCAGGATCATGATTAGTAGCCGTATTGCTAGCTCCCAGAATGATCAATCCTCTATCCAAGTAGTCTATCATCTTCTGGTCCTGTCATCCTTGGTCTGCTCCCCTTTACTGGTAGACAAAATTGGACGTTTGCTCTTCTCATGGTTCCCCTACTCCAGCGGTCTACAGTCTTCAAAGTCTGAGCTGTTTCCACTCAATCCTATGTAAGCCTTTAGGTCTTAGAAATCATCATAAAGCATTTTGATTTCTTCAGAAAGAAGTTGTTGATTGCTTTTATTTATGCCACTCTGTGGAAAGGTACAGGAAATAAGGGGCATAGAAAAAAGAAATGCAGACATTCAAGGTCCCAGAGTAAGGGAGGATAATTCACAGTTGGGTCTGAGGTAAGTGGGGGAAGCATGTTACTATAATTCTGTGCTTTACAGCACTGTTCTATAATACCTTCGTTGTGTTCTCTGTTTTACTAAGTTTGCTTTAAATGTGGTTTCAAAAAAAAAGAAGAAGAACAAAAAAGGTTACAGGATGAGAAAAACAGTGATGCTGAATTTGCAGTCCTTTACCATCATGGTAAAAACACACACACAAAAGGAACACAAATTTTTAATAGCACAGAAAATTAGGCTCTCAGTCAACATTCTCCTGCCACCAGGATATCCACTAGGCAAAGCTCAGATGAAGGCCTGAGGAAAACTCAGCTAGGGAAACAACGTGATAGGTAGTGGCCCTCTGCCCACCAAAAACTTAGCCCAAGCCACCCGGGGGTGTGGGGAAAAGGCTATGCTGCAACCCCCCAACCCCACTCCAGCACACACACTACTGGGGGCTACTTTCTGGGGCACCCAGAGCTGTCATGAGATTACAATCCAGGCAATGAAATCAGACTGCAGAGCAGAAGTGGAGAGGAGTCCTTTTATATCAAGGCAAGTGAATTCAGGAGAGCCCTAGAAGAAACATGACAGCCATGAGGGAAGAACCACAGCACGCCTCAGATTACCCAGGAGTAAACTCGGCTTCTCCCAGGACCATGACCAAATAGCAAAACCAGGAAAAATCAATGCAGGCTTAGAGGTCCACTAAATGAAAGCTTTAAGAATACCAGAAAGTTGGCTCAAATCATGTACAATAGCCCTCCAATCATCATGTAAGATAATGATTCTAATAGCATTCAGGAAAATAGCAGAACAAGGAGAATCTCCACAGTGAGTTTAAAAGCAAAGGTTTGATTAAACAGAAGATATAAACTCCTATAAAATATTTGTTGTCAAAAAATACAGAGATCAAAGCACTCTGAAAAATAATTCAGACAGCACCTGCTCTGTCATATAAATAAAATTCAAAAAATATGGATGCCAGAAACTAAGACAACAAAATAAAACAAGAAACAGACCGAAATAATAAAGATTACAGCTGAAAAGTAGAAATAAAAGGAGTTAAATAAGATAATAAAGACACTGGAAAATCCAATTACAAAAAGTTAAAATATGCATTGTAAACAGCAAAATAATAATCACAGTCGACCCAATAATTTTAAATGAGTAACACTGAGATGGGGGACAAGTTTGAGAATTTTTGCTAGAATGTAAAGAATCGGGAGAAAAATTAAACATTAAAAAGGTGAAAAATGTCGGTGTGTTTAAAATATTGAGAATTATAGAAAAACAAACAGTAAAGAGATTTGTTTGCCTTTAGAAAAATATGTATACAAA